ATATAGTGCGTTTATTGTGGATTACCAAACACTCAAAGCATTTTACAGTCATTAGGGGATCGCCTTGCCAACACCAGTCTGCAGCATCCACTGATGTTGCAAAAGGATGATAAATGAAACTGTTACAGTGTTTATGCACTGTGGCATAAGAAAGCCGTGTGAAAGTGGCAATAACCTAAAGCACACAACTAGTATACCAACAGGATGCAAACTGCAACAACCAACAGCTGCATGTATATGTAAGCAGCCATTTCCACCAGAATCAGAGCAGGCTAAATCTAGTGATTTAGAGCGATTGCCTACACTTTCAGGAAGATTATCGCGACATATATATGGGCCATATTTTGTTGTGGGAAACAAAGATGCTAAAACTGCTTGAGCCACGCTATAAAATACCCCCTACGCACATACTTCAGCATGAAGATACAGCATGAAAAACTAAATCGTTGCAGACTTATCAGATGCATCCTATAGCAATCACCACAGATGGGTGGACAACAAGAGCTACAGAAAGCATGTAATCAGTGACTGCTCACTACAGAGCGGGGTGGGAAATGCGAAGTCCAGTGCTACAGACACACCCCTCCATAATATTCACACAAGCACAAATCTACAGCAAATACTGACAGAAACATAAGCTGAGTGGCACGAGGCACAATGCATGTAGCAATATACCAGTCACCAAAGATAATGTCAAAAACTGAGTATATGCAGTGACAGAGTCTGGACTGGGGCCACAGATATTTTGCTTTGCCCATGTTATAAATGTAGCATGCCAAAGTGGAATCTCAGTGAAACAGATAGATCGTCTTCTTGGAAGGATCAGGAAGGTACAACCGCAGCTCATGTGCTTAAGACCAAGAAAGAAATGCTACAGAATTCAACCCACAGGCTCATATATGATGTTACAACAAGATGTAACTCCACGTGACATGTTGGAGCACTATCTAGAGCAGGGGTGTCAAACTCAATTCCTGGCGGGCCGAAGACCTGCACAGTTTAGTTCCAACCCTGCTCCAACACACTTACCTGTAGGTTTAAACAAGCCTGAAGGACTCAATTAGTTTGATCAGGTGTGTTTAATTAGGGTTGGAACTAAACTGTGCAGAGCTGCGGCCCTTTTGGAACTGAGTTTGACACCTGTGATCTAGAGCAACAGGCAGCAGTATACTCTGCACTGACAGAAAAAACACTGAAAAAAACATAAGGGACATTCCCACTTTGTCTGATGTAAACGTAGTAGAGGAGGTCCTCAAGGGGCTTAAACTTCTCAAAACCCTATTGAGCACTGAAAATTTACCACCTTTGTCTATGTTCTGAAAACCAGAATTCTACAATCACAAATCAGAAAAAGTTGGGACACTATGGGGAAAAAAGGGAAGTGATTTAGTGATTTTTAAATTTACTTTGACTTGTATTTCATTGTATTCTTCATGATTTTCATAATTTTGTTTTTCAAAATAAACATTCCATTTTGAAACATATTTCAAAAAAAGTTGCAACAGTAAAGCATTTACCACGCTGTAATGTTGCCATTCCTTTTCACAACACTTAAAAAACCATTAGGGACTAAAGACACCCAGTGATGAAGTGTTTCATTTTGTCCCATTCTTCCTGCAAACAAGTCTTTAGGTGGGCAACAATATGAGAACTTTTTTGCACTTTAAATTGCTTCAAACCACATTCTCTATTGGAGACATGTCGGGACTGCAGGCAGGTCAGTCAAGTACTTGTATCCTCTTGCTCTGCAGCCAGGAATTGTGTATAGATGTGTGTAAAATGTGGTTTTGCATTGTCTTGTTGAAATATGCATAGGCGTCCCTGGAGAAGAAGCCAGCATGTTGTGCTCCAAAATCTTTATGTACTTTTCAGCATTAATGGTGCCATCACAGTGCAAGTTATCAAGGCTACTAACACAACCCCATACAATGACAGACCCTGGCTTTTGGACTTCTAACAGTCTTGGTTATCCTTTTCGTCTTTGGTCCAGAGCACGCATCATCCATTTCTTTCCAAAAGTACCTGAATTACTAATTTATTTGACCCCAGAACACAATTTCACTGTGTGATGGGCCATCCCAGATGCCTCCGAGTCCAGAGAAGTTGACACTGGACACTGTTAACATAGGGCTTCCTCTTGGAACAGTACAGTTTTCACTGGCATTTATGGATGTAACTACATATTGTGGTACTTGAAAAAGGTTTGCCAACGTAGTCCTGAGCCCATGGGGCGATATTGCATATAGATGAATGGAGATTCTTGATGCAGTGCCGCCTGAGGGATTGGAGACCACAGTTTTTCATCTTAGGCTTGCGCCCTTATCCTCTACGCACTGAAATTCCTCCAGATTTCTTGAATCTTTTAATTTCTTTGGGTAATATTGTTCTTAAACATTTAATAATTTTCTGACATAATTGTTGACAAACTGGCGATCCTCAGTCTAGGTCTCAAGGACTAGATAGATTCCTGGATACTGCTTTTGAACCAAATCATAGTTACAATCACCTGTTGACATCACCTTTTTCCAATCACATCAATATTTAACCATTTTACCTGATGGCTTGGAATAAATTGCAACTAAAAAAAATTTTCCAACTTGTTTTAAAATGTGTTGCAAGAACCAAAATTGGACTACGTGTTTATTTATTATTACACCAGCTTTGCTAAAGGTATCCAACCCTGCCCTACGTGAGATGACATACAGTAATCTCACCACTGTGATTGTGGCTGTTGAAGAGGTAAAATTGCAATACTTTTTTTTCATGTGAACACTTGTTCTTTCTTTTGAATAATATTTTCATATTAACATTTACAATTATGTGTGTTATAATTATGTCATTTTTTCTGCAGGCTCAAGCTACAAAGACAACGCCTACTGGAGCAGACACAGAGCCAAAGGCATCTCCTCCACAAAAGAAGTCAGCAATGGAAAAGATTTTTGGCAATACATTTGTAAAGAAGTCATACACAGACAAGACCTGACACAGGGCAGCAAGCAGTACGTCAATGGACGGTGTTAATCTAGTGGCATGGTGGAAACACAATGAGTATAAATTCCCTCACATTGCAAAGATGGCAAGACATTACCCTGCTGTGCCTGCCACTTCAGTTCCGAGTGAGAGGTTGTTCTCCACTGCAGGTGACATAGTGAGTGCTAAGAGGTCTACTCTCCCAAGAGAATGTAGACGTCACTATTCGTTCATTTTTCTTTGGCTTAGCCTGTTATTAATAAGGGGTCACCACATCGGAATGAACCACCAACTACTCGGGCATATGTTTTTCACAGTGGATGCTCTTCCGGCCAGTGCTGAGAAAAACCCATACACTTTCGCTATCACACATGCACACATACATCAAGGCCAATTTTGTTTATCCAATTCACCTAAACCTCATGTCTTTGGACTATGGGGAAACAGGAGCACCCAGAGGAAACCCACACAAGCACAAAGACATGTAAATAAGCAATGAGCCACCATGCCGCCCCTAGACATCGTCCTCAATGAAAATAAATGTCATTGTAAGATTTGGTCTATTTTCAAGTCTCAGTTTTCTCTGCCTATAATACCTCGTTCATTAACTTTGTAAAAGCCTTTGACATCACGCATGACCCTGGAAGATTCTACCACATATTGCATTTTGAAGAATCTGGTCAATGTCATCCAGTTACTATACAAGAGCTTTGAATGTTGTGTCATCCACAATAGTGATCTGACAGAACTCTTTCTAGTGGGCACTGGAGAGAGCAAGGGTGCCCTATACTTAGCCATTGACCGGCTTATTCTCTTCTGGCTGAACAACATCTCCAATGATGAAATGACAACCAAAATAAACATGGCAAAAACAGTTGACAAAGGGTTGAAAAGCAAAGGGCTTACTTTCTAAATTGCCCTGCGGATATTGGTAGACCGAACAAAATGGAGGACCCTTCCTGATGCCTCATGCAGCAGATAGTGCAGAGAGGATTAACTTAAGTATTACATTTCGAAATGCATTATAAATAAATGATAGGCAATTCATGTAACATCATGAACAAAAAGTGCTTTTGTCTAATTCTTGACAAATAGTAAGGAATTTAATAATGTATATAATTTAATTATGCAGGTACACTGTGACATTTTTGTAAATGTTTACTAAGACATCGAGATTCACATTTGAAAGTTAATCAAAGTCTGCAAGAAAGAAAATAATTGTGCAAATGGTAACTCAAAGCAAAAGCACAGCCTGTTAAAATTAAATTTAAGACAGCCGATTTTAGTTACTTTGTTTGTTAAATTTTGTTAGTTTAAGTTAATGTATAACTGACTAAAATGATACATAATGACGGTGCAAGAAAGCAATCATAAATAAATAAATAATATGTGGCCATCAGGAGTGTGAGAGACATCGTAGTGTGCCAACACTGGGTGCTGAAATTCACAGATAACACACACTGACACACACACACACGTAACCTGAAATTACAAAATGATCCCTGACAGTTGTCCTGGCAACCCTAAAGGATTCTATTTTAATGAGTCCTGTAGATTTTGCCTGTTTAAAAGTGATTTATTTTTGCTTATGCGTATGAACAGAATACAGCCAGAAAATCATGGATACTGTCTTATCAATTTATTTAATATATAATATATTATTTCTAACAAACGTTAACATTATATATATATAAATTATATATATATATATATATATATATATATATATATATATATATATATATATATATATATATTCAGTTTATGCAATGCAACATTAATGTTTGCATTATTGTGCATCATTATATCCTGCTACGAAATCAACAGAACTCTCAGATACTATACAATTATTTCTAGACCTATAAAATACTGTTTTTTGTTTCTATAACTGCTAAATTAAGTAAAGCAGTTGTTAATACTAAAATGATGGATAAATTTGCACACTGTGTTTACATCAAACATTAGGCTAAGTGCAAGATGTACAAAGATGAAAATAAAACCCATAATGATTCTTTAGTAAATTACTGCACCTGATTAGTATAGTGACGCCTACATCCTCACAACTTGCATAAACACGTGCCCAGGTGTCCTTAATGATGCCCCGCTCCACATCCGTCAGAGGCTCTGGTCTCTCCCTCCCCTCCGTCTCTTCATCCTCCCTCTCTTTCTCCATGCCACAGACACACCACGGGGTACTTGCTCCTGATGCGGGAACAGATGGTGAAATGAGAGGCTGTGGTGGTGGGGAAGACTGACGAAGTTGGCGGAGGGGGCAACAGAAATCCAGGGCAAGAGAGTAGAGAGTGTGCATCCGCCCCCCTCTCACTCTATGCCCCTCACTCCCTGGTGCAGGCAGGATGAATTCACTTCTGGCAATTTTCCGATGAATGTATCTGCTGTCTCTGTCTCTGTTGTCAATCTCATCGACACCTTTTGTGTTCCTTGTCTTACGAGCTGCTTAGGTCTCTATCTACCCTCGAACACAGATGTTGCCTGTGCTTGGAACTGCTGGATTTGTTATGACTTCAGATATGAAACGTTTGGAGGAGAGGGAGGGAGCTGGAGAGAAGAGTGACAGGGAGGGGGTATTTGGTTGAGAGGGGGAGGGAGAGCATGAAAATTCTTGCTCCCAATCAGCCCTTTCCAAGCTTTGCTTTGCCACAGATTGCAGACACATACAAATTATCAACAATTATTCAAAACCCTATGTGTATGTGTGTGTCGGGGCATGAGTTACTATTAATATGGTTATTAAAAATTAAAAGAAAATAATAATTATGTGAATTTCATTATTAAATCGATCTCAGAGCTGGTAAAGGACTATATTGTTTCAAATTCCAATTGTTCATGTGTTTTTGGTGTTTTGCTCTAAGGCAGGGAAGAGAGCAAGCAAGGGAAATGGAGAGATGAGCACAAAGAAAAATAAAATAAAATGCAGACATATAATCATGACATCTGACATTGTTCATATAGTGAGGATTATTTAAATGATTATGTGAGTACACCTTCAGTTATATTTTGTATTTTCTTAAAAAGCTCCATTTCCTAGGATAACCCACAGAAATGAATTCTACAGTACCTTTTTGTTAGGACTCAATGCTGTGTCTGAGTGTCATTGTCTGAAACATGTGCAATCTTTATAATTCTAGGCAAATGAAAAAATGTATGGTAATGCAGCATGATCAAGACCATAATAGGTATCCCATTTGTAGACTGAATAATCTATTCAGGCCCGGATTGGCTAATCGGGAGGACCGGGAGAATTCCCGGTGGGCCGGTCCGTTTTTTGGCCGCGAGGGCCGGTGTCCCTAGCTCCAAAATCTGTTGCTCTCAGCAGTCACACTTTTTAAATTAATTTATTTACTTACTTGACTACAGTCTTCTTATTTATTATTTTACCGCAGCTCTGCTCTGCCTGCAGGTTAATGATGATATCACTCAGATGAGTCAACCCTTCATATACAACAGTTGTGGTCCAGTGGTTAGCACGTTAGATTACAACGCCGCCGACCCGGGTTTGATTCTTGTCTGAGTATGTTTTTTTTTAATTATAGTTTTTTTGTTAAGACATATAATACTGTTAGGGTTTTTGAACATTTAAAGTTCTAAAGCAGCTGTTTTCTCAAAAAAAAAAAAAAAAAAAAAAAAAAGACGTGATAGTGTAATTAGAAACTGAATTGGAAATGACCTTATTTTAATATAGTCATGCGTGAACTGAGGTGGGCCGGTCTAAGGCTTGAAACTCCAGGGCTGAAAAAGAGTCCCACTCCGGCCCTGAATCTATTGACAATAATTTAAAAAATTGCAATCAAACTAATGCATTTAATTTATAAAAAATGTGAAAACAAAAAAGTCACCTTTCAGTTTTAATGTAAAAGGGGCAAGTTTCCTTAATAAATGGAGATTTCTTTTCACTGGAAAATAAATAGCATCTTATGTTAGCAAAACTAAAGTTTTAACAAAACATCAGTAAATTAAATATTTTCTATTTTTATTTTTTCATGATAGAATGTGACAATGATGGTAGTTCATTCTGCTAAGACGCCAATGGAATGCATATGAAGTTGCCAAGTAATCGCAGCTCTCACAGGTGCAGCCACTTTGCAATTAGGAGTATAAAAGGCTGCCTTGAGAGAAACTCAGACTCAGTAGTATTAAGCTGTGGTCACCCTAGAGTTTGTGTGTGCAAAATTCTGTCATACAGCTCTGCGAAAAGGGGAGTTGCGGGAATAAACAAGGTTATTAGACATTGGAGCAAGCGATTGCTCCATATTTTATATATTCCATATTTTCCAGAGGTCATGTTTTGATCCTTGATTGGTCTCACGCTGTCAAATGATGCAATTTCGCAGGTCAGAGTTCACCTAGCTTGAACTTTGCACTGCAGCAACCTGCGAAACTTGACGCATGACCTTGCGTTTCTGGTCTGACGCATTCGCTTGCGTATGAATGGAAATCTATAGGAGGAAAAGCTCAGTGTGACCGCAGCTTTAGCCTTTTGCTTCAGAACCTCACTTCTGCTACATTGACCTAGAACCATTCAATCCAATGGCCATTTTCATTAGGTATTAGAGTTTATACCTATTGGTTCTACCAAGAGGAATTCCGTTATTTGTTTTCTTACAGTCATTTGACTACAGCATGAATTTAAAACCTTACTGTACTCTGTAAAGTTTAAATTTTCAAACTGACAAGCTGTGGCATAATAATCTTCTGCTGGACGATGATCATGATATTTGTCCATCATGTTTGGGTATTCAACATTTAAAAGATGCACTCACAGACCCGTGTTTGTATTGTAGTCTCTTGATGTTGTCGCGCCTCCGCGATGGTCAGCACCCATTTTCCAGCAAAAAAGACAGCCACATCACGGAGTGCAGAAAACCCATGTCCTGAGGAGACTTCACTTTCTAGTGCTTTAGCTATTCTTTCTTCAGAGATGGAAGAAATTAAACTTTTATCCCCTCTCTGTAACCCATAAAGACAACACAAGAGGATGAAAATTATCAGAAGGAAGGAAATGTGGAGGAGTCCCTTGAATCACCTTGTCTTTCTCATTCTGAATTATGTTTTTTTCCACATGTACATGTGATCATGAGAAAAGATGTGGTTGCTACTGTGCATCCTTCACCCAAAAATACTATGACTGGGGGTTTTCAGCAGGATCTAGCAGGGGATCAGTTCAGTCATCTGAGAAAGGCCAAATACCTTCTGATGACTCACTGGCCAAGCTCCGAATGCAATTGCTTGTCTGGGGCTTAATGAGGCACATACTCAGTCTGCTCAGACTAATGTATTTTTTCCAAACAGCCCTCAACTACAGAATCCTTTGCTATGCCAGCATGTAAAGATTTTGTGACTGAATTTTTAAATGCACTCACCGGTGCTGGCCTACCTAAACGCCACTCAAAGACTGCTCGTACATTAGCATCTATGGCTGGAGCAGATGTCATAGGGGTTAGCCGTTCCCCAGAAATAGAACAGCCTGTTGCAGCCTTTGTGGTGTCTCCTGATGAAACTTCACAGGGTAATGTGTGATGTCTAAGTGTGCAATGCGTTCCCAAAGACACACTGCTGAAAAAGGCATACGAGTCTGTTCCATACATAACACGCACTGAAAACACTACTAAGACACTGGAACCAGCAAATGCTTACCCCTCTGTTTCAAAGTTCCTTGAAACAGCTCTTTTAGCAATGGGTCACACGACACACGAATTGACTGTACCCTTACAACCACGCTCTTAGCAGCCCGCCACCAGGTTTTAAAACCTTTAGAGACCTTCCCTTAGTTGCTGGCCATTTCTTTGAACCCACAGTTTCTAAATTGGTGGAAAAGACGGTAAAACTGTCAGACCACTCGCTGGCTGACACAGATTTAGCTCAACTCTACTTTCATGCTGGCCTACTGGAGAGACAAAACATCAGACCCCTCGGTTTTAAAGACACTGAGCAGTGGGTACGCTTTTAAATTTCGATGTCGGCCCTCCAAATTTACAAAGATTATCCCAACGATAATCAGTGTAATATCTGGTTAAAAAAATGGCAGTTTATGACCAATTCTCTATTTGAAAAGTCTGAATACGTCTCTGAAGGTTCTGCCCTTTCACATGCTGCGCACAACCGCCGTTCCCCTTCGGGAAGGGAACTTTAATGCTATGTGGAAAAACTTCCACTATGGGGATTTCGTTTAGAAAGCCAATCATCTAAAAGAGTATGTAAACGGGCCAATGAGTTGCCAATGAGTTGACAGCTTCAGCTTGCGCAGCTTGCTCGTTGCAATCAATTTGGCAATATAAGAACAGAAAGTGCAAAGCTAAGCATCCTTTTCGCTTCAGAGACTTCAAAAGCCTTCTTATAGAGTTATGGTTCCTCCAGCTGATTTTCTAGAGAAATCTTCCAGAGAGAGTGAACAAGAGCAATCTCCCGGTCCAGAGTATGTGACATGCCGCGCAGATGGTCGAGCTGGGTTTCTCCTTTGCCTGGCGTTCTTTGGGTCCGGTTCTTCAGAGCGGTTTGTATTGTTGCCAATTTCCTTAAAAAGCAACATGGTCATGGAGCACGTGTTTTTCAAGGCGTCGTGGTTTCCTGGGCACTTGGGCAGATCTGAGGGTTACAGTGGGAGTAAATCCGCCGCCCTTGGCCTGTAGACCTCTCACTCCTCCACTCATTTCATCCAAGCTTCAAATGAGAGAAGCCCTACGTCCTCGGCTAGCAGCCTTCTCACTTAATGACACTGTGGCTCCGATATCCACCGCTGCATCAGAGGATGGGCTGTCCTTTGGGAGCAAGCGCAGAGATGGATCTAGAAAAAGATATGATAACTGTGGTTTCCTAGGCTGCTTCGGCCTCAAGTCTGCTGCGTGTGCCCTGGGAAGGACCATGGCCACATTAGTGGTCCAGGAGTGCCACCTTGGGCTAATCCTGGCAAAAGATATGTGCAGTCAACAAAATTTGACTCCCCAATGTCCCAGGCTGGCCTGTTCGGCGACACATCGGTGCAGTCGAATACGATGGCCTGAGTCATCTATCAGGGATGTAAGACCGCTCCCCCCACCGAACCATCCACATCCACTGCTTGTCGCCAAGAGCGTTCATCTACAAGAGCTGATCTGCGCCTCCAGCCAAGCGGCAGCGTTGAGCACCTCGCAGGCAACAAGCGCTCATCCCCTTGCATTCATCCCCGGGATTGGTCTGCAGCAATAGACCTGAAGGACGCGTACATCTTGTCTCCATTCTTCCACACCACCGTCAGTTTCTTTGGTTTGTTTTTTAACCGATTCTTAACTACTCATAAACTCCTTATGCACGTCCAACTAGTGAGTTTACACTGAATAACAATAGAAAAGTGTTCTGTCAACATCAACATGAAGAGGAGTTCATAAGTAGTTAAGGATGAGTTAATAGTGATGTGCCCCTCCAAGTAAAGTCATGACATAACTATACATTAACAGCTCATGAGTTCATGTTGGTTACATTTAGCCTAAACTTAAA